TGGTCATTATCCATTCACCTTTTGCAGGGTCAACGGTAAGAACAATATCCTAGGTAGGAAAGAAACTGCAGACTGCTGTGCTGAATGTGTACAGCCTCCAGCCTTCTGGAAATCACTAAGGGACAGAAACAGATGTGAATGATGCTCGTCAAATTAGGAATTTCTGAGAAAGAACAACAAAAGCAAAAGTTAACCAAATGTAATGAATGTATGAAGCTCGGGATTTAGAAAATCCCAAAAACTATATGCGTGCATATATTTTACTAGCCACATACAAACATATACCGCTAGAATGTTTTTGTTCAACTGTGAGATGGGCTATATGTCCTGTCACGCAAAGGATTGTGGGAAACCATATAGATTCTATTTGATGGATATAATGTCAGGAGATCCCTGTTAAATGACTATCATTAAGGAGCGTCCTGTTGCCTCTTCCTACCTCTTTCCTTACTGCCAGCCATATTCGGGCAGCACTTATGATGGGTACTGATTTCCATTATTCCTAATCAGCCAGTCAAGCAGTGCATATTTTGTTTTTACTGTGTAGAGCACCACAGATACCAGGATATTTTCATAACGTAACATTTTCTAACCATTTTCAAATGTCCTTTGTAGGAACAGTAGGAAGCAACAGGTCTTTTTTTTGTTTTTTTTGTTTTTTTTAACAAAAACTGAAATGTAAGCAGGACCTCAGTCTTGTTGTTCTTTGCTTATGACTGAACAAGACAAATAATACTTGCTAATGCCTGAACCATCCCTGGCTAGGTAGGATTGGCTACAAAAGTAAAGTAAGCAGTACTGTAAGAAATGTATCACTACCTAACGTTGCATTTAATGCAATTTAATGCAATGTAAAATTGAGAGAAGATTGACAGAAAATAACTGATGTATTTTTAGTAGGTTAATGTTAATTAAAATAACATGGACACTTCCCTGCCCTGGACACTGGACATGAGGCAACAGTTGACAGACCGCATGTCTTTAAATTAAATTATTTTTAACATAGATAAGTAGCTTCTGCTGGAATTTCACCATCAAATGTCATTTATCACCTAATATGTCTGATTAACATCTATAGTAATATCAATCTGTACAATGTTCATAGTACATATTCACCTGCAAACTCTGTTATAATAACAACTATTTGTATATTATGCTATTGTGCATATCTGTTAAAACCCTATTTATAGTAATATCCACCTGTATATTATTGTCATGAACCGAGGACAGATGGACCCAGTATTCAGGAGAGACAGTCAGTAGGAAAGTTCAAAAGGTTTATTAAAATAAAAACAAAACAAAAGCGGAGCTGTGGCTCGGATAGGAATTACTAATTAGGGGAGAGCAAACAGGCCAGATCATGACAATTATATTCGGTACATATCCAGCTGTAAATTTTGTTCATAACACTAGTTATCTATATATTACAGTAGATTCATAGGACAAATAAATCCATTAGTAAAATTCTTAGGGATGCACGATATAATCGGCCCCCTATCGGTATCGGCCTTAAAACTGAATATCGGAAATCGGCCACCCCACCGATATTTAACCCAATATTTGATCAGCTTCTGAGTTTCTAAAGTCTAAAAAAAAAAAAAACAATACTACTTCTTCTTCTTCCTCAAAAACTTATTTTTTACAGACTTAAAAACTTCTAAAGACGAGGGAAAAAACATTGATACATTAAAATATCACAATATCTTCATATGCTGATATATTGCCATTTAAAAACACCATATCAATCTCTTTTACCAATGAAATATTGCTATATGTCATCGTTACGCTACGAAATCCCCCGAAAATTCACGAAATTTTGCCATTTTTTTATATGTTGATATATTGACGCGGTATCGATAACAGAACGATGAAATTTCACGAGATTTTCACGAGATTTTGAAAGTAAAATAGATCGATACCGCGTTTTTAAAAATCAATTTGATATCAGCATATGAAAATATATTTGAGTATATTATTTTTCAAAGTGTCAGAAATGGATAACAAAACTGCTATTTTCAATGACTACTTATTTGCTCCAGCTTTAACATCTGTATCGATATCGGTTATCGGCTACATGAGTTTTAAAATATCGCCATATCGGATATCGGCCAAAATCCCAATATCGTGCATCCCTAAAAATTCTGTTTATAATGGTATTCATCTCTATATTTATTCAGTAGAACCCATGTCCTGTACTTATGGAACCATTATTTATCCTGCACTTGCTTCTATTGTACTTCTGGTTAGACTTAAACTGCATTTTGTTGCCTCGTACCTGTACCTGTGTAATGACAATAAAGTTGAATCTAATCTAATCTAATCTAATCTAATCTAATCTAAAATGCAAATACTTGTAATGGTAAATGTATATTAACTTTTGAATTTTAGACTGTGCACTTTTCTAACAAACTTTATAAGTAACAGTGTCTCTAAACTAGTTAAACTTGAATATGAAAGTAAGTTTCAGTAACATAATTTTTTTAACCACAAGTTCTATGATTAGTTGTTATTAGGCTGGAATAACCGTATATAAAACAACCCATATGACTAATTTACAGTACCCCATAAAGTTTCCTTTTAAAGTTCACTTATGTGAGCATTCAAGAAAACCATGCAGCTTCTGAAGCTCCTTTAAGCCAAGCCTAAGCTCTGCTGACCTCTCTGAGATCTTTACGACTATCTGCTGTGAAATTTCTACCCCATAGCATCACAACTCCATAAACATGCACTACAGTAGAATCTAGCTATTAATCTGTGTCATTTTTGGCATGTTTCAAACTTGTAAATTCACTTCACACCAGCCACATATTTTTTTATTGTTTTTTGCATGGTGGAGGGTAAAACGCCTCTGGCTATGCTGCTGTAAACATCCCTGAAAGGGAGACAATCGATCTGAATCACTTTATCAATCAGTGACAAGGCCTTTGAACTGCAGACGTGATTTCCAGCTAGTCTGTCATCCCACCCTGTCGTCTGTAAAAACACTCCGGGGGGAGATTGCTAAACACAGGCCTGGCTCGTAAAACAGTTTTTATGTTCAAACACGCCCTCGCTGATTGTTGACAGGGTCCAGAAAAAGTTACCATTTGAATAAAGGTCTGTCCTTTTATTGTTCCACTGTAGTGGAACCGGACCGTGATTTTGTACCTGGTTTCCTCTGTTTAAACTCCTTTTAATGGTACAACACCTTCCCTCCTAGCTTCTTTGCTGCAACTAACTAACAAATATCTCCACCCCCTGTGTATCTCCTATGTAGAAAAAGGAGAGGAAGGGGAAAGGGAATGTTTTCCCTCTTTGTCCCCACCTCTCTCCCCTCACCTCCCTGGGGCAGTGCTGTGTAGTAATAAACGTCCCCCACATAAATCTTCTCCTCATGCCATCCTCCCCTTCCTCCATCTCCCTCCACGCCTAACAACCTTGCCTTTCTTCTTCTTTCTGCTGCAGCCCAACACACGACCGATGGCTGCTCTGTCATGAATTTCAGAAGGCAGAGGGATGATGGACCTCGGTAGGTCCCAGAGTCTGCTGCCTGCTCCCATCTCATGTCTCCTGCATGCATCATACTTGACTGAGTGTGGTTTGAATCTGGTGAGATCACCTGTGTATCATGTTATCACTTGCCAGGTGAATTGATACACACATATTAAAGTTAAGGAGGGGAGCTTTAGGCCTGCATGTGAGTTTTGATAAAAAAGAACAAACAAAACAGAAAGTTAAAATGCACAAACATTGACATAGTTGTGGTGGGGAAAGAGTTAAAAGCTCATACTCTCTGAATTCACCGGAAAGTCCCACAAAGTCAGGGCAATTAGGAGTAAATTAATTACAGAGGAGTAGATGGTAGCTGAAACCCTGAGGTTATTTCTGCATATCTCAGTAAACAACCTTCAAATGTTCAAGAATACCAAAAGAAAAATGTTTTAGATTATTTTTTAATAAGCTGTGATCTATCTACCAGTCCATCTATTTATACATCTTTCTGCCCTGTAGATGATTTTATTGTATGCATTATGGCTCATTGTCAAGGGGAGATTCTAGTCAACTTTTTTCATTGTTCCTTTATGTTCCCCCAGTATATCCAGAAGATTAGAATACAGTTTTAAGGTGCAAGCCTCTAAAAATCAGACAACCCACCATAAAGGGCAAAGAATTAAATAAAGAATTTTGAAACAGTAAGAACAGATATCGATACATTCTGCTGCTTGTTCCTAAGCTGGAGAAAAATCCATGTTTACTTTTTTAGTAGCAGATCCAAAACCAGCTTTGCTCTGTTAGTTTGTCAGAAAACAACCCTATATATATATATATATATATATATATATATATATATATATATATATATATATATATATATATATATATATATATATATATATATATATAAATAACTAATGAGAATAAATTGTTTATTCTTGTAATTCTACTTCTTTATTCTCATAATATTACAGCCTTTCAACAACAGAATTCTCTGTATTCTGGCCTCAATACTTTGTCGTACAGGAAAGCCTTACACTATTAGAAATAAAGTATAAACATCAATTTATGTGATGTCAATAAAAAAGGTTGATTATTTCCTCAAAGAGAAAAAAATAAACATCATTCTGACACGCATCAAATGTAATATATTGCTACAGCTGATATCTGTTAAACAAATGTTGTCTTATGTAGAATGCAAACATTGTCAATATAAAAAGATCAATGCTGTAGTGGCTGGTGAGTTTGACTGGTGGGGGGCCCTGAGTAAACTCTGCTTAGGGCCTCATATAAGTTTGAGCCGGCCCTGGAGCTGGTGTAAAAACTGTTTTTAATCTTTGCAAAAGTTCTGCCTCTGTTATTAAGAATTCACAGCCACATGGTGATGTAAACGAAACTGACAACCCAGAACACATAAAACAAATGTTTGTCTGTAAAAGAAGAGGAAGGAAAAGAAAAAAGTTGACAAAGTTACCGCCCAGTAGTTTGAAGCTCCTCCTGCCTGCGCTATTAAAGCCAATGTCCAAGCAGCGGCGGGGCAGAGGGGGAGGCTGCAGGGTGGAAAATACACGAGCTGCGAATCCCAAAGACCTGCCAAACTTTTTAACTATTATCACACGCTTTTTTCCCCCTTTCCTAACCCGACTCGGTGACTGGGAAGATGACCACAGCAGTGGTGTCGCCTTTCTTCGACTTTGAAGTGATAAACAAGGTATTTTGAACACTTTAAAAACCAAATGTTGCGTTATTTTGGCGTGTTGCAGTGCTGAGTGTGGAGGAATGAACGCGGCCCTGCGCTGCGCTCTGCGCGCAGCCCGGTTTGTTTTGCTCTCTTCTCTGCTTGTTTTCTTCACTTAAACTCTAAAATATTCCCCTGTTCTAAACTAACTTCATCCCCAGCAGAGCGTTTGAGTTTAATAATTATCTCCCAGCTACTCTGAGCGTGTTTGTGCTTGTAGTTTAACATTAATTTTAATGGTAAACTTGGGTGTGTGGTTTTTTTTTTTTCATTTTCAGCATGTGCCACATCAGCTAAAGCCAACTGTTGCTGCAGTTAAACTCACAGGCCTGAGATTAGCCTGCTTTCAGAGAGGGAGGGTTTTTGCGCCGCTTTTTAATAATCACAGCCGCCACATGCTCGCTAATCATTGACAGGAGATATTGAGCTTTCCTCGGTCTTTGCTCCTGGAGGATGTTGAATGATCATGCCTCCCAGGGGCGCGTGCAAAAGGTTTTCACAGAGGGCAGCTGATAGTCTCAGGGTGAGGACTTCATTAAAAACAAGCCAGATCACAACATAATGAGTAATATACTGTCCGCCTATGCAGGGCTGTGTATGAGTGTTCTGTATTTAAAGTCGTAGCTCTTTATCCTTTAATCTTTTTTTTTAAACCTGTAGATAAACTATTTGTATCAGCCAGCTTAGCTTTATTGAAGGAACATGTTTTTTCTGTGTTATGGAGAAAAGTCGTTGTAAAATGGTTAAATTAGTTTCATGGAACAACATTAAACGTTACTTATTTACATTTTTAATTCAAATATTGGTATATGCAATATATTACCAATAATGCCAAACAAGCTGGGTATATAATCACCAAATCTGCAAAAGACATCACCTTACATCTAATGAGATGATAAAAATGTATGCTTCAATGTTGAAAGCTTTATGCCTGCGCCATTTTCCCCCCTGTTTGATACCCATTGAGTGATGACTTATTTTTATAAAACTTTGCATTTCCTTTCATCATCAAACATCTGCTTTAGTCCGTTGCTTCTTTTACTCTAATGGAAGTCGGTCACCTTTAACGGTTTGGTCGGTTGTATTGAGATGCAGACCCAAGTTTCTCTTTGTGGTCCGGCAGGATGTTTTGCTTCTCAATCGCTGTCTTTCAAACCAGGCAGCCCACAGGCCTCCCATGTGCTTCTCTTGCTCCATTTTACTAAACAGACACACATTCCTAACCAGGGCAACTTGCCAAACCAGCTGCTGTTCTATAGGCCTGTATCCGTTTCTGTTGTCGGAGCCAGAAGGAACAATTGTGCCGTGCAATAGGAGGTCTGCATTTCTATTCAGTCCCCTTTATGCTGATGGCCATATATAAAATCCAGAGCAATCTGTTGCTTTCAAAACTCACCGATCTAGTAAACAGAAAACACTATTGTGATTTTATATCTGGATCAGTAAAGCTTATTTCATACAACATTTGGTATTACTCTGAACACATTGTCCACACTCTAAAGCATGGTGGTGGCAGGATTATGCTGAGGGGATGTGAGGTCAATCTTCTCTTTGAGCTTCTCTATCTAGCTGCATTTGTCATCAGATCATCCAGTGTCTGCAATCATAAAAGACTGTTAGTGAGCAGAGTCTGGTAATGATTACTGTAGTGCCTTGAAATCCAGACTAACAGTCTTGTCATGTGCTATAGAGCTTTGTGGCCTAGATTTTACAGCTGCTATGTTCTGGTTAAACATTTTTCAATATGTTCTCATATAGTTTGTTTCTTTCCTTGCAGAATAATAAATTCAACTACATCAACAACCTGGGGGGCCCTCACCCAGTGTCTGTCCCTTGCACTGGCACTAATGTGCCCATCTCCAATGCCGCCGGATCCCTGCTGGACAGGAAGGCGGTGGGATCTCCAGCAATGGGAGGCGTGTACCATCGGCGGCACTCTGTCAGCAGCACAAAGTTCAGCCAGAACCAGTTTCTGAATAGCCTGAAGACTGTGGAGCACTCCTCGCTCATCTCGGGGTCTGGCAACACCAGCAGCAACAACAAGGAGACCCGCATGCGAGACCGCTCCTTCTCTGAGACGGGCGAGAGGCTTCTTAACAAGTGCATGGATCCTTCCAGCCCCACATGCGGCGGCAGCAGCCCGGTGAACTCCAGCCGTTACAAAACGGAGCTCTGTAGGCCCTTCGAGGAGAACGGCACCTGCAAATACGGCGACAAGTGTCAGTTTGCCCACGGAGTGCACGAACTGCGCAGCCTAAGCCGCCATCCCAAATACAAAACAGAGCTGTGCCGCACCTTCCACACCATCGGCTTCTGCCCCTACGGGCCACGCTGCCATTTCATCCACAATGCCGAGGAACGCCGTGGACCTCCACAGCAGTCCTCTCCTTTAAACTCTTCCAACAAGCTGGAGAGGCCTCGGCTGCAGCACAGCTACAGCTTTGCAGGCTTCTCCAGCTCTGGTGGGCTTCGGGACAGCCCGACCTCTGTCACCCCACCACCCATGTTCTTCCCAGATGAGGTCCCAAACTGGCCCAGCAGCAACCCTTTCACCTATTCCAGCCAGGAGCTGGCCAACCTGTTTGGGCCTAGCCTCAGTGCCGGTACTGCAGGCGCGGAGCCCAACAGCGCCGCACCGCCCTCTCCAACGGGCACACCTTACTTCTTCAGACCCATGTTGGAGTCTCCTCAGCTGTTCGAGCCCCCTTCTAGCCCCCCAGACTCTCTGTCAGACCAGGAAGGCTACCAGAGCAGCTCTGGCTCAGAGTCTCCCTCGCTAGACAACAGCCGCCGCCTTCCCATCTTCAGCCGCCTTTCAATCTCTGATGAGTAACTGGCACACATCTAGAGATCAGTGATACAAAGAGGCACTCCCCTCTACCTCTGCTCCCTTCCCTGAGCTTCTGTCCTCCCTTAATTTGATTACTACATCCTTACATGAGCAAGGATCTGCAGTAAGGGAACAAAATTATAATTCCACCCCAGCTGATCTGCACGTAAAGTTTTAGAAATGCCATGTGTCATAGTGCCAAACGAACTAAACAATGAAAACCACAAGAACAAGAATTGACTGTTTTTCCAGGTGCCACTTGTTTACCCCCCCTCCCCAATCTCTTTTCCTCTTTTTTTCATTCGTGAATGTGTAGCAGCACAAGTGGCCTTGGAAAGGGGAGTGCATTGCACTAACCCAACCCTCCCTTCCCTCCCGTCTTCCTGCGCTGTCCCTGATGCCATCGTTTCCCCTAAGCTAGCTAGAAGGTGCTCACTAATGTAATTGTAGCTCTACAGCAGATGTTTTTACAGACTAAGAGTCAAAAGTAACAGACCCTGAAATATATGAATAGTTTTTTAAAAAAAAGGTTTAAAAAAAAAAAGTGCCTGGGGCGGTTTCCGTATGCGTTTAGGGTGAATGGACTACTGTTTGTTGTTTTTCTTGCTTACCTGCTCCCGTGCCGCTGTTGGTCCTCCTTAAGTCCCATTTTCTGTTTCTAATCTGGGTGAGTCTGCAGGAAGGACTTTTGAACTGGAAGTTGGTTATATACTCCCCCCTCCTCTGAGTTTCCCCTCCTGTTGCTGGTCACTGGCTTATTTTTTTTCCATTATTTTGGGGAAGGAAGTCTTTATCGAACTGATCATTAAACCTGTATGCCTTTGCCACCTCTCCTCTCTGATCTGGGGAAATTCCCATGGTTCATTTCAGATTGGATCTCCAAGCTTCCCCCACTTTACAAACTGCTCCACTGAGCATTCTGTACTCATTACATCCCTTTCTTTCATTCATTGATAATTATTTTTTATTAATGTTATTATTACGGTTATTATTTGAAAAAAAACTTTCCGACAGAAGGTTTGCATATCACTGCTTATTTAACTTATCAGAACATATTTATTGTTGATCATATGCATTTTTTGTTAATTTTGTTTTTTGTATTTATCTGGATAATGAACAATAGAATATATTTTCTTTTATGTTAAATTATGATCTTCCATATTAATCTAAAGATTGTGAAGACATTTTTTGTCAGTTTTCCTTTTTTTTCACAGTTTAATATATTGTACTTTCAATGACTTTTTGTTCTGCAACTACACTTTGTCAGAAATGAATAATTTAAAGCAGAAAAAATGCAAAGAAAGAACTTTGTGTTTTTGATTATTTATTATACTTTTTTTGTTCTTTTCTTACTCCCTCTCATTGGACTGCAATTTCATCTAAACAAGATATGCTTGTGTCCATTCCAGATGTTTTCCCTACAACAGTCTGACAGTAGCAGTTGCCAACTGTTTATTACATAAAATAAACCTATTGAAAGAAAATACTTTAGGGGAAAATAACTGGTCCCAATTTGAGGCCTGGTTATACTAAAATCTTTTTAAAATAGTTTTTTTTTTTTGGGTTATTACAAGCAATAGCTGTGACCAAATGAGGAAAGTTGAGGAAAGTTTTTCTTTTCTTCATAATTTGATTGGATGCTTGACGCACTTGCTCTGCCCCCTATCAACCAGCGAAAGTGCCTCTTTAAATACATTCCAGGTAGCTAAAGGCTTCTAGGCCTTTTTATTTTTGATTAAAATAGTACCGTTTTTAAAGTCGCTCGTCCTGTGTTGCCTTTACATGTTTTGGAAGAGGTGAAAGGATTCTGACACAAAGAAAGTGAAACTGTTGAATGTATCTTTTTTTTTATTTTTTATCTTTTCATTCGGCCTTGTGTATTTTCACTACAGTAATTTCTGTGAGTTTATATGAAAACTTATTTTTCCCTCTTTGTTTTGTAAGTATTGATTGCAGTTAAGTCAATAAACCCCATATTTTTTTGAAAACTTAACATGTGTCTTGAGTTGTGTATTTGAGTAACTTTGGGCTTTTAGGTATGTTTTCCTGTACATCTGATTATTTTAACATGATTAAAGTTGGAGGAACAAAGAAGTTCATGATAATAGATTAAAAGTTTATAGATATTTATTCCAAAATCTGATGCTCTTGGCACTAAATGCCCAAATTCATTGAAAGATAGTGCCGTTGGTGTCATGCCCTGGGGTTGACACTATCGCCATGCCTTTTTGCATCCTTTCATACAAAAGGAATCAATCTGGTTAGGTTGGCAAGATAATCTGTAGATGGCTTTTTTGTCTCAGCACCTTGCAGATTTTCTGATCTCAAACTATGAGTATTAGGCCCCTAACGCATAAACATAACACTGTTTATGATAATTTCCTCCTGATTCAGTAGATCAAGATCTTTAAGATTCTGTATGCCACTTCTCCCACATAAAGCTTTGCTCATAATTTTCTCCATCCCTTCTAAAGAAAATCACTACAGTATGATTATCACTACCATCTTTTACCATTGAGACTGGTATAAACAGTGTTATACAGTCTCAGGTTTTCCTGTGACCCTCTTGTGTATAAGGTGGGTATGTCAGGAGTTCATGTATCTAAAACAAATCATCATAACCAGATATTTAGCACGACTACATATCAAACCCATAACTCTATAATGCACTTCTATTAGTGGCATTTTAGCCAAACCTTAACGATTGATTCAAATTCTTGCTTTGCATGAAGTTGCACAATTTAAAGGAAATTAAGCGTAGCGTTGAAATACAAGATTTGTGACTTGAACCAAAAGGGAGTTTCAGTATGGTGAGAGTTGGTTGGACAGTTGCTCAGACTGCAGTCAGGGCTATTGACCCGGGAATAATCAAAGTCTGATTGAGCAGGTTTGGTTACACAAAGAATCAACACTCCTAGTTTCAGCTTAATTATTTATCAGAGCATGCCGTAACCATTAGGTTTCCAAGAATAAAAGTTATGCACTCAGGCAATGACCAGATCATTGATACTAAGCTGCAAACCGATCAATAAAGTGTGAAGATGTTCTTGGACGAGACACAACAAACAACCACATTTTTTTTTCTTCTAAAGAAGGATGAAATGTTTTGTCTTTTTTTCTGATAGACAAATGTATAAAACAAACTGCAGATTTCCCTCCATATACCCAACCTTCTCATTCTTCAGCTGTTCCTCTCCCCTCTCGCTGGACATTTCCGTCTAGCAGTGTTTATGCACTCTCAGATTGCAAAAAAGAAGCTTGAACAGGAACTCCCTTTCCTCTGCACAATGGTGGGTGCTGACCCATCGAAGATGACCCATGGAGGCCTCCTTGTTGCTTTATTCCACAAAACCCAAGCCCTATAGATTTCTATCTTATTTCCTTACTCCACCCATAATGAACCGTCCATTCACAACAGCCACTCTCAGACCTCAAGAAAACATCTGATCAACCATCTGTCTCAAGAAATCCCCTAAATGGTAAATATGGTCCTCTTGCGTGCAGTGTAAGCACAACTGCTCTGTGACGGCCTCTGAGGTCCATTAGAGAAACATCAGTGATTAAACAGCATCATGAAGACTTCTACAAGTCGGAGAAGATATTCTTGTAAAATAACCTCTTTAAGACGTGGTGTAAAGTCATAAAACCAGGGTGAAAGTTGACCCAAAGGACAATACCACTAAAAAAACTATAAGTTGTAATGGAATGCTTTAAATCCTTGCTTGAATGGTCCAGTCCAAGTTATGAGCTAAAACTAATGGGACAAACTATCAATACTTTTTACAAGGCTGTCCCAGCTTGAATAGGTCCCTTTAAATGAGCTTCTTTAAGAATCTTTATTTTATATTATAATATTAATATTGCATCCAAATGTTTGAATTTAAATACCATATTCAATGTTGATGATAACCTGCTTTCCATTATAGAGACATTTTGTAGATTTTTATAGAAAATATCTTTACAATAGCCTTTTTCATTTGACCCTTTCCGACTAAAACATTGGTTGATGAGCAGACTGACACCTTAGTAGTCCTGCACCAATGCATCTATAAGTCTGCAGACTATGGTTCCTGCAAAGTTTCTGCTGGTGTGACGTCAACCGCATCCCTATTAAACGCGTCCTATCTAGCTAACAATGGAGGTGTTATATTTCAGATGGATTTTGTTGATACTTAGAACCGACCACCATCCAGCTCAACTCAGACACCAATCGCTACTTGGCATAAGGTGGAAAAAGTAAAAGAAAACAAACCTTGTTATGCACATTGTGCGAGCAACGGGAACAAGCAGAAAAGCACAGCAGTTCTGTGCTTAGGCCAAAGGTGGCAGTATCTTTAGAAAACTCTGTCAAGCCTTTTTAACAGCAGCGAGAAAGAGAAAAACCCTGTAAAAAAGAAGAAACAAAATTGAACAAAGCAACTGTAGGCATCTAAGTAGAAAAATTTAAGCTGGTTTTTAAACTAAACATAACTATTATGGGCTGTCAAACTCTGGTCCATATTGGCTTAAATCAACTTTGATAATGTTAAAGTTCAGTTGGTAGCTTCTTCAAAACCTTTTATTGTGCCACCTCTTGATTGCATCAAAGACAAAGCAAGAGGAAAAGAAGAAAATTAAAATATCTCTCAAGCTTAAGCAGGTGACTTAAGCTTCTGCCAGCCTTTTTTTAGAAGAACTTAATATGCACAGTTTGAAGCACATGAAAGAGGGCTGTTTCCTGTTTGTGCGGCGTATGCACAGAGGCACCTTGATCTAAACTACCAGGAAGTGGTTTTTCGTACCGGTGAAGGTGCCGGATGGAGGGGGTCTGTTCTTTGAGATGTGGCAAAAGAAAAAAAAGAAAACTTCCATTACTTGAAAACATTAAACAACAAGTTAGTTTCCAATATGAAAACCGACCAATGATCACTACTACCTGTACAATGGGGAAAAAGTGATTGTATCGCCCTATCCTCAGGGCCCAATCTGCATTCACCTTTAACCTGTGATGTTGAGCAAGAGAATGCAGCAGCATGTGTGCTGTGCCATTTTGCTATCAAAGGAATGACTACCTACTTGATTTTAGAAAGAGTTGATCAAACAGTGCTGATCAGCTCACTGTCCCTTAACTCCCAGCTCTTAAAACTAAGAGCTCTGCCTATCTGCAAACCTGCGCTCGCGGTCGACTGCACTGTTGTGCGCTGATGCAGTGGAGCTACAGGTG